GAAAAAAGGATTCTCTCCCTATTACAAATGCCTCTCTAGTATAAGGCCCAGGGAAAAGCCCCACTCAAATCTGGGATTCCTTCCCCACAGAAAGTGTTTGGCACAACCCACAAGCTGTCATGAGACTGACAGGACTGACAGCAAAAAGGTTTCTGGAAGTGGCCCCATGACTTTTCTGTCTGGCTTGAACACAGTATTCATGAAAGGTGTCTTAACAAGCTACAAACTCAGGCCTAACTATGGGGCACACTGTTTCAGGAAAGCTAATCTGAAGGGGAAAAGGCCCAGATGAAATAGGTCTCCCACAGCCACAGGCAAACTCGTAACGCACTCTGTCATCCTCTCAAGGGAGATTAAATCCCCTGGCTGCCCAGGAAGTCAGTGGAATCCTGACTTCCTAGGGAGGGTGAGAGCCAGAGAACAACTTTGATTTCAGAATCTCAGAGCCAGGAAAAAAGGAGACAAAGATGACCAAAGATGCTTTCTAAGTTACTCTGTCCCATACTATGTAGGCTCCAGAAGAACAATATTGAGGAGAATCAGTGTGCTAGTAACCATGGCAGCCCTAGGATTCGGCCTTCAGGTAGAGGTACTGGGGCAAATAAATGTACCCCAAATCCAGTTTTACAAATAAAAACTTCCTGCAGTTATGATACAATACTGTGCAGTGAACAGGTGGGAACTGTATGCTGCTATTTCCGGTTAAAGCCCTGTCCCGCTCTTGGCCAGCCAGAGCTGAGAAGTGACACATAAGGAAGGAGTGGCTAAAAGTCAGGCACCTTAGTTACAAATGGCCTGGGGCAGTGATGCAGACAGTCATCATCCAATGGAGAGGAAGCGGGGGGCCCCAGAGCTGTGGTTCAAAGCAAAGGTTTCATCTTACCCAGAACTTCAAACCAAGCTCTCTGAGCCTACTAATGCAGTAATAACTAGTGATTAGGAATCCCTGGCTGGGTGGCAAGGTACATATCTCAGCAGGCCACCAACTCAACTATAGGGAAAAAAAGGTGCAAATAATATTAAGTAAATCACTGCTCAAGTGGAAGATCATTTCCTGGAGAACTTCAGTGGACTAGATGCTAATCACACGGATGAATGCTGGGACTGGACCCCAAAGAAAGCTTGGGCCCCAGGCGTGATTGGTCGTCTTTACACTTACCGCATCCTGACATCTTCTCTGGCCTCTTATGTCTCGAATGGCCAAGCACACATTTCCCCGGGGACCAATGTAAACATTATTCAATAGATCTCAGCTTAGAAAAACACAGCTTGTTATATAATTGATGTCTAACATTCCAGTGCAGGCAGTATCTTAGCATCAGACTTTCCCGGATTTATGAGTACCAGTTCAGAAGGGAACACACACAGGATACTTGATAAACTGTGGCTGAAGACATTTGGGTGCCAGACAGTTGGTTCTACCCTGCAATCAGTTGATAAGCCAGGGCTATCACAGGAGAGGCAGAACAGACAGAGCACAGGTTCTGTGTGAATCTGAAGAGTCATATAACCATTGTTCCCACTTAACCCCTTGGGCCACATCTTGATATGGGAGTACATTTCCACCTCTTGCATCAACCTGTGCTCTCCTTGTTTTGGATGGGGCTCTCTCCAGAGGGTTCAAGAGCCTCCTTAGAGAGGAGAGAGCTTTTTCTTCCAGTCCTAACATCTGAATATTTTGAAGCACAAGAGGAGTCCATGAACATGCTAGGGATGTTGCTGCCAAAGTAGATCTTACTGTTAGAAGCAATGGCCTGGTACCTTTTGAGCTCCAGATATTCCGGGGTCAATTTGTGCTGTGTGGGGGCAAACAAGAGCAAAGGCATCAGGACACTTCAGTGCAATAATCATCCGTCTCTTTCCTTACACACATTTCCCCTACTGCTCTCCTGAACATCACTACTCGACTCTGAGTCATTGCCAATGATCTTCTCTCACTCTGAAGTGTGGCTATCACATTAACAGCTGTATTTTAGACCTGAAGTTCCTTACACAAGCTCCTGTCCTAATGTAGAGAGAAGTTGTTCATTTAAAAAAAAAAAAAAGGAGGGGCGCCTGGGTGGTGCAGTCGGTTAAGCGTCCGACTTCAGCCAGGTCATGATCTCGCGGTCCGTTGAGTTCAAGCCCCGTGTCAGGCTCTGGGCTGATGGCTCGGAGCCTGGAGCCTGCTTCCGATTCTGTGTCTCCGTCTCTCTCTGCCCCTCCCCCGTTCATGCTCTGTCTCTGTCTGTCCCAAAAATAAAAAAATAAAAAATAAAAAAAATAAACTTAAAAAAAAAAAAAAAAAAAGGATTGGGGCACCTGGGTGGCGCAGTCGGTTGAGCGTCCGACTTCAGCCAGGTCACGATCTCGCGGTCCGTGAGTTCGAGCCCCGCGTCGGGCTCTGGGCTGATGGCTCAGAGCCTGGAGCCTGTTTCCGATTCTGTGTTTCCCTCTCTCTCTGCCCCTCCCCCGTTCATGCTCTGTTTCTCTCTGTCCCAAAAATAAGTAAACGTTGAAAAAAACAATTTTTTTTTAAATAAAAAAAAAAAGGATCGAGGAGATGGGTTTGGGGAACAATGGTAACTAACATTTCTATAGTGACTTGGGGCCTGAAAAATGCCTTCATATATACTTTTATATTTCATCTAGCTAAGTTCAACCTAGAATTAGTCTGGAATCTTTGCAGGTTCTCTTAAGAGGACAGGTCAATGGATGAGAATGGCAGAGCTTCAAAGGGGCTAGGCTCATATCCTTATAATCAACCATTTGTGATTCTGCTTTTCTTGACCACATTCTAGAAGTGGAAAAGATCTCAAGAAATCACCTGATCTGTCCTCTTGCCTCTACTTAGAAGCTAGATGTTTAAACTGATTGTGATAGATGTTTGTCAATCACCAGATCTGTCACAGTTTTTGTTTTTAAATTAAAATCATGGTGCCAAGATATATCCAACCAAAACCTCGCAGGGTTTGTTATTAAAACTAATTTCTAGGGGCGCCTGGGTGGCGCAGTTGGTTGAGCGTCCGACTTCAGCCAGGTCACGATCTTGTGGTCCGTGAGTTCGAGCCCCGCGTCAGGCTCTGGGTTGATGGCTCGGAGCCTGGAGCCTGTTTCCGATTCTGTGCCTCCCTCTCTCTCTCTGCCCCTCCCCCATTCATGCTCTGTCTCTCTCTGTCCCAAAAATAAATAAAAACGTTGGAAAAAAAAAATTAAAAAAAAAAAAAACAACTAATTTCTAATATTCCTGGAATATACTTCCCCAAAGCCTTTCCCTAGTAATCCTCCCCTCATTGCAAGTCCCTGGCCTGTCCTCTAGGCCAAAGCCCATCTTGACCTTCATAGTACCCCCCCACCCCAACACCTTCCACTCCCTGGGTCTACAGTCTCTCCAGTTGATTCACATCTTCTGCTGAAACTGCCATCAAATATGGTCACAGTGCATAACCAAATTACCTCTTAATGCCTTATTAATATAATATCAATATCCAAATAGCATTTTTCAAAATGGCATAAAACTGCTGTCCCTTTCAGCATAAGGCTAACCTCAAGGACAAGGTCTTGATACTTGTGCCTGGATAGCTTCTCCCATAACAGATTTGGATTGCTAGTTTTATTATTTATTTATTTGTGTTTGTTTGTTTGTTTTTATTTTTGAAGGAGAGAGAGAGAGCACGAGTGAGGGAGGAAGAGAGAGAGGGAGACACAGAATCCGAAGCAGGCTCCAGGCTCTGAACTGTCAGCACAGAGCCTGATGTGGGGCTCAAACCCACAAACTGTGAGATCATAACCTGAGCCAAAGTCGGACACGTAACCAACTGAGCCACCCAGGTGCCCCTGGAGTGCTAGTTTTATAAACTAAAGTTTCTCACCTTGCCTCCATCTTGACCAAATTCCATTGTTTCGATAGAGCTGTGTCTCCAATATGTTAAATTTACTTCTAAATTTATACTGGATTTCAAAGTACTGACAACTCTCACTCTATCAACCTATCATATCATGCCTTATCAATTCTTCTGAGCCCAGAGAATGTTGTTCCTTTCTAAAATGAAAGAATTTAAGACCTGTGTATACTTTAAATCTTGACTCTAATCCTTCAAACCACACCACTTTGGCAACCTCTTTCTCACCTCTTTCAACGTTCTAATCTGCAATGTTCTCTCTGCAATTAATAACTTTATCAACCTTGGTCATATTCTTCCCTTTTCAGAATACACAGGGGTTCTAGTTGCCTCTTACCAATTCCTGCTTACTAGGCCTGCATTCTCTAGACTTAAATTAACCCAAGTCTCTATACAAAAACTGTTCACCCATTTCACCCAACCTCCTACCTCCAACTGTCACATGTGAAATTCCTCACAACTAGATTATTTTTTAAATCCAGTAAACAAGCAATATTCAGTTAGGGGCATTTGGAAATGTGGGGGGGGGGGGGGAGAAGGTGTTGACTGTTCAAATAATCGGTGAGCACTACTGACACGTAGCAGGCAAGGGTCAGGGATGCAAAATAGTCCGTAATGCATGAGATACCCATGTCTTCAACAATGAAAAAGTTTGCCACCCCAAAATGCCAAGAAAGTTTCTGATGAGAAACACTGCACTAAACGAACTTAGCATCTATGCAAAGCTACCTGGAAAGCAACTCTAAATGGACTTTACTCTTCTCTTGTTACTCCTGTCATTCCATGAGAAGATCCTCACCTTTCCTGATTACTAAGCCCTGACAGAGCAGTACAGATGGATGGTTTATAGCACTTGACCTGTGTTTATAGATTTGTCCGCTATTGTCCTATCTCCCCACTTTTACAAGGAACTACACAAAGGTCTCTCCCCATTGAGTGTGCAATATGACTTGATGAGTGATTGGTTGTTTCTGGAAAGTATGATGGTAACTACCAATCTTTGACACTGGATAAATCACCTCTATTTAAGCTATTAGATAGCTATTAGAGCCCCCCCACAAAGAAAAGCAAAACCCCAAACACTATATTATTAGGAGTGGGGCATGGAGAGCCAATCACCTTGTTTGAGGTGGCATATTTGTGTGCAGCGTAATACTCAGCATCTGCCTTCGCCTTCTCTCGGGCCAGGAATGCGGCATCTAGCAAGCAAAATAGAGTCAAGAGTGTTTAAAACAAAGGAAAGTTGCAATCCACTTCCTCAGCTGTGTAAGGGTTCACACACTATGTTAAGTAGGGCTCTCTTTTTCCACTGCCTGATATTTTGATCACTTATTTTATTCATTTATTTTTAAAGATTTCATTTTTTTTAAAGTAATCTCTATACCCGACACGGGGCTCAAATTTACACCCAAAGATCCAGAGTCATATGCTCTACTGATTGAGCTAGCCAGGCACTCCTCAATCACTTACTTTAAAGGCATGTAACAACATTAGCAGTTTTCAAAACCCAGTCCCCAGACTCTTTTCCAAGGAGAATACTCTCGTCATTGTTAAAGAACTTTCAGCTCATCGGAGCCTACTTCATTTTTCACCTAAAGCTGCTCCTTCTTTTCTCTACCCATCATCACCCAAAAAGCCTCACACCCTACCCATGTCTAGGCTTCAAGTAAAACAATGAAGTCCAGACATGAAAGCTCTGCTCTATATATTGCACTGTCCCCATCCCCTCCAAACTGGATCCAGAATCAGTTAATGTAGAATGACAGGACAGGAAGCAGCAGTATATAAGCAAAAGAGGTTGAATGTCTGGTCTTCAAGACTGTGAGCTCAGAACATTAGCATCTCACTATATGAAATCTAGGAGTTTGAGAGCCTTTTACGAAAACTAAGGCTGCTTTGTTCCTGGCTAAATTTTTTGTTATATTTTTGATTGACAGGTAGGAAAGAAACTAGTAGTGGTGGGGGTTTCTTATATATTCTTTACAACTGATTATAGGTAATTCTCATATTTTGTCTGCCTGAGGACAAAGTGGTAGCTAATAAGCCACAACTTAAGGACAGAAAATGAGCGATGAGTTGCCTATAGTCACAAACCAACCAAGAGCTAAACATGTAATGGTAATTTAAAAAAATCTGTCTATGAGCATAACAGGGCAGCCACTTCCTCCAGACCAGATTATTCTGTCTATGGCCTTCCCACCCACCATAATCAAGAAATCAGTCTCTGAAGCAGAGAGGCAGTTCAAGATAGTCAGAGCCTCTTTTCTCCCTGATGTACCTTCAATTTCAGAAATGCGCTTTTCAGTTTCTTTCTCCATCACCTTCTGCTGAAACCGAATTTTTGCCACTTGTGCAATCTTCTCTGCTTCTATAATTATACACAAAAAAAGATACATTCAAAAACATTTCTCTAGGTCTGGAAATACTTAGAATCAGCAGCATATAGTTTTAACACTTAGTCATATAAGGTTTTATGGGCTGTTTCATTGTTTTAAACATCCAGACTGTACACAACTCAACAGAAAAAAGGGAATTTATTTCCTATTCCACTGTTGACAGTGCTGGTTTTGTGGGAAATGGGAGGGAATACAAAAGGTTAACAACAGTTTCAGTCCTTCATGGGATTACACAGCAGCGGTCCACAAGCTAATGGGGAAAATGATACTTCGTGAAAGTACTCAGAACAAAAACAAAGCAACATAAATGCATGGCAACATAGGACAATCTTATAAAACAGCAGGAGAAAGAAGGAATAAAGATAAGTTAAACCAAGAAAGGTCTTCTGGAAAAAATCCTAAAGAAAATAATGGACACGACCTAGGAGGACATGGCAAAAGGAGTAAAGACAAGAAGAACAAACGAACAGTCACAATGAAGAGGTCATTATGGAGCCAGCTGACAAGAGAACAAATAATTAGAATAGAAAGAAAGCTAGAAGACCTCCATCTTGAGTAATGGGCTAAAGAATTTACTTTTAATATACTCAGGATCAACTGTTGAAGTTACCAAGAGGGAAATGACAAGATGAAAATATCAGAGAAGGAGAATTCTGACTGCGGTAGAACATAAAAGAGAAAGCAGGCTAATTCATCTGACACTGTGAAAACAAGTGCTGGGGGCGAACATGTTGGTTGCAGCAGACAATTATAGGCAGGGAAAACCAAACACCCTCAAGTACACCAGCGGCCTAACCAAAAGATCCAGGACCAGGGAAGAAAGACTCTTATTACACTTTTAATTCAATCACTGCAATTCTTGAAGAACATTCTCAGTTCTTCTTTTCAGCCAAAGAGGATGAGTATTTTAACACATCTTATCTCTGTCCCTAGGGGAAGAGTATAATAGAAAAAAGATTTCTAAGTGTTTTCCTATTTCCAGAAGATCTAGTATCCTTTAGCATTGACGCCAGCGCATACTTCCCTATTTCCTCATTAGCATAAAATCAACTTGTATCACCCCAACTCCCAAATAGACTATGACGTTCTACTGGAAATAACAGAAGGCATTTGGAGCCTATAGCTATAACCCAGAGAATCGTGTCTCAACGTAGGGAAATGGTTGTGGTCATCCCACTTAACGCTACTCTCTGATGTGTAGAAATAAACCAATAAAGAGCATGAGTCAGGTTCTAGTTCTAGAAAAATGGTGAAATAGAGTAATGAGAAAACCCCCCAGCTAACAACACCTTAAAGTGCTAGACAAAATGTAACAATTTTTTTTTAATGTGTGGCTAAGATGCTAAGAAAGAATGAGAGATCCCCAAGACACATAAGCAAAGGAAGAGTTGAGAGCTGAGAGCTGGTATAGGAAGAGCTGAGAACTTAGACAAGCAAGGGAGATGGACCTGGGAGTGTTGCCCATTCATGGCCAGGAGGTGACGCCTTGAAAACTGTATAAAACTGAGACCACTAATGGGCTTCAATTCCACTGAGACTAAAAACCTCTACCCACCAGCCCAGTGAAGAGAAGTAAGCTTGTCTCTACCTAGACACACCACAAAGACAGAGAAAAATTATAAAAGTAAGAAGACAAGAGGAAGCCAAACAAAAATGAAATAATATCACCACAGTGACAGAAAAAAAGTAAGTTTTGTTGGGCTTAGAACTGTAGGCTAAATTACTAATTCAAGAATGAAATAAAATCATTTCAGACTAAGGAAGAATGAGTAAGTTATCCATTCCTTAGCATTTATTGAAAAAAAACCAAAACAAGAGTAACAAACTAGTAGAAAAAAGAATGAATTGCCAAAAACAATGGAGAGGGAAAAAAATTAAGTAACGCCTATAGATCAAAATGGATGTTTACTGTAAGAATAAATGATAATAGTAATAATGAGGGAATAAAAAGAACATAAAACTAAAATACGAGGTAACTATGTAAAATTGAGGGACAGTAATAAGAATTAAAGCATTCTACTGTTTTATGAGGATAGAATGATTAGCTTTAGATTCTGTCAAGTCAGGTATGCTAATTAACATTTTACAGGTAATGACTAGTTATAGAAACATTCTAGAAACAATATAAAACTTCCAATTAAGTAAAAGGAAGAAAAGAATAAAGAAAACCCAATCAATTCAATACCAATCAGAAAAGAGAAAAAAGAAGCAAAGGAAAAAAATGCGTGGTGAATAGCACAAAACTAAATGATACAAACAAATCCAAATATAGCAGTAACCACAATAAATATAAAAAGACTAAACTCACCAGTTAAAAGACAGATTCTCACATTGGATAAGATAACAAAATCCAGCTATATGCTGTTTACAAGAGACACACCTAAAACATAATGACATAGAAAAGTTGAAAGTAAAAGGATGGGAAAAGATACATCAAGAAAATAACTAACCATGAGAAATCTGGCATAGTTATAATTTCATTAGACAAAACAGATCTTAAGCCAAAAAGTGTGTCTGGGATAAAGAGGGTTATTACATAACAGGAGCAATTCTCCAGGGAGATGTAACAATCCTAATGCTCTTAATGATACAGCTCTAAAATATGTAAAGAAAAAAAATTACAAGTCAACAAATCTACGGTCATGGTGGGAGATTTTAACACACCCTTCTCAGTAACTGATAGCTCAAGGCAAAAATTAGAATACAGAAGATGTAAACAACACAATTCATAAGCCTGACTGAATGGATAAACAGAGAAAATTTGCATCCAACAAATAAAGAAAACACATTCAATCTTTTCAAGCACACAGAAAACATTTACCAAAAAAGTACCATGTACTGATAGGCCACAAAGCAAATTTCAACAAATACTTAAGAATCCACATAATAGATCATATTTTCTGACTATCATGCAATAACATTAGAAATCAACAATAAAAAGGTAGCCCCCTAAAAACCCAGAAATTGAAAAATATACTTTTAATACTTCATAAGTGAAAGAAGAAATCACAATGGAAACATTTTACAAAAATTAAAAATGAACACCAATAAACTACATTTCAAAACACGTGAATAGAAAAAAAGAAAATATATAATCTTACATGTTTCAATCAGAAAAGACTGAAATCTAAAGAATTAAGTAATTCAAGAAGTTAGAAAAGAACCAGTGAGAAAACTCAAAAAAAGAAGTAGAAGAATAATAAAAATAAGTGTAAATAATGTAATTGAAAAGTAAGAGACAAAAGAATCAACCAAATCAAAATGCAGTTCTCTGAAAAGATGAATAGAGTATCACAGACCTCTGGCAGAAGTAATCCAGCAAAAGCGAAGGCACAAAAAAACAATACTAGGAATAAAAAGGGGCATGCACATTTGGTAGCAGATTTTAAAAATTATAAGAGAATTCTGCATAATTATGTCCCCACATCTGAAATTTCAGATGTGAAACAATTTTCTAGAAAAGTATAACTGCTCAAACTTAAAGAAACAAGTACCTGAACAGACCTATAGTTACTACAGAAATTAAATCAACAGGCTAAATGTTACCACCAAAAACAAGCATATGAGAGAGCACAAACCCCACTAGACCAAGATGGTTTTTTACAAGAGTTCCATTAAACCTACAAAGAGGAGATAATAACATATTTTATACAAAATGTTCCAGAACACAGAAAAAAAGAATGCTCTCCAAATCATTTTGAGGCTAGTGGAACCATTAAAAGAAGAAAAAACAAACAAACAAAAAAAACCACCTGACAGTACAAGGAAAAAATTATAAGCTGAAATTTATAAAAGTAAAAATGAAGACATATAAAAGTAAAAATTTTAAAGAAACTATAAGCAAGACATATAGAGAAATGTACTGAGGTATATCTCCTATATCATGATCAAATGGGTTTATCCCAAGAAAGCAAAATAATTCAGGAAAAGAAAATCTACTAATATAATTCACCACATTAAAAGCTTTAAAAGGAAAAATTAGAAAAAATATACATAGAAAAAAATTCTAAGAGTTTAACAGTCATTTATGATAAAAACCTCTTGGCAAGCAAGAAACAGAAACTTCATGAACCTGATAAAAGTTAAGTACAGCAAACATCACTGGGACTATTTAAAGTTAGGAACAAGACAAGAATACTTGACGCTACCTTTCTTTTCAACACTGCACTTTAAGTCATAACCTTGAAACCAGGAAGATAAGAAGAGTAAAGAGGTAGGGGACTACAAAGGAAAAACCAGAACTGTCCTGATCTGAAGATAGTTTGACTGCTCACAACAGGAGACTATTAGAAATAATAGCATTTTCAGCAAGACTACTAAACAACAACAACAAAATGAACAGCATACCTATACAAAAGCAAAAATCAGTTAGAAAAATCCTTCAAAAAAGATCCTATTTATAATGGCAAAAAGCTTGAGGAATATATAGGAATAAATCTCTAAGAAAGAAAGTGCCAGAACCTTAAGAAGAAAATTATGATACTTTTTGAAAGACACTTCTGATAAATGGAGAAATAAAACAGATTTATAAGACTCAGTATAAGTCTGAGTAAATAAATAAACAATTTAATTAATCAATTCTCTCCAAACTGACATGTATAGGTAATGTAATTCCAATCAAACCTCAACACAGCATTTTGTAGAACGTGACCTGGTTCTAAAATTTATATGGAGGAATAAAGGGCCTAGGATAGCCCAAGACATTTATAAGAATATTTAGGAAGAGTAAAGCGAATAGTTAAGGAGAAACTTGCTCTCCCAGATAGCAAGACTTAACATAAAAAGCAACAGTAATTAAAACAAGGTAACTCTGGAGAAGGATAGACCATGGAATTAGAACAAAATAGAGACCACAGCAACAGAACAAATTATATACAGTATCTTGTTATATGATAGGTGTGGCATTAGAAAAAAGTAGAGAAAATAATGAACTTTTCAATAAATAGCCTAAAATAATTGGCTTGCTATTTGGAAAAAATAAACTGAATTCCAACGTCACACTAAACCCTAAAATAAATTCCAGATGGACTCACGATTTAAATATGAAAAGCAAAACTTTAAACCTTTTAGAATAAAATTATTACTTTGGGGTTGGGAAAGAATTCTTAAACAGGATAGAAAAAGCACAAATCAGAATGGAAAAGACTGATGAATTTGATCACATGAAAATTAAATATATATGAATGTCAAAGACATCATAGAGTTCAAAGGCCACAAAGTGAAAGAAGATATTTCCAATGCATAAATCTGGGAAAGGATTAATATCCAGAAGATACAAAGAACTTCTATAAATCAGTCCAAAAAAAGTAATCAAATGGGCTAATAATATATTAACAAGCAATTCACATACAAAAAAAGAAACCTGAATGGCCAATAAACAATATTCAACCTTACTAGTTATCAGAGAACTACAAACTGAAATTATATGATACATGTCCACCAGCAAACTGACATAAAATTTAAAAGGTCTAATGACTCCAAGAGTTGAGGAGGATATGCAGAAATGGGAATCAATTATGGCAGCAAATGAACCGGAACTCAAACCCTGCTGAAGAGAAGGTAAAATGGTAGAATCACCACTGGAGAGCAATTTGGCAATACCGTATGTTGTAAATTTGAAGATGTATGTATCCTATGACCCAGCAATTCGACTTGGAGGTATTCCAGAGTAGTGCTTCTTCAACTACCTATGGAAGGAACAGCACCCTCCCCCCCTTTTTCTGTATTTCAATTTGTTAGGAAACAATATTTTATAAATTATAATAAAAATTAATTACTTGGAAAAATATTAAAAACAAAAACACAGGGTCCAGTTTTTTATCATTAGACATAAAATTACTATATAATACTATAAGAATTTCTAGGCACTCATTGTCAATTTCTGTCCTCTCATTATGGATCAGAAACAAAAAGCCGATGATACAGGGCAGTGACCAACACTACATGTTGAGTAGCACTATCACAGGAAAACTCCAAATATGTGCACAAAGACACATGGACACTGGCATTACTGCGGCACTGCTCATAGTAAGGAAAAACTAGAAACTACGTAACTCTCCAACAGTAATTCATCAGAATGAACTGAGGTCCACTCATAGAATGAATGCACAGCAGTTAAAAATAACCAGATCTACACCTACCAATATGAATAAAACTCAAACAATGTTGGTACGATAAAGGCAAGCTGTGAAATGAAAGGTAGAGTCTGATACCATTTTTAGGGTTTAAAACAATCCTATGAATTATTATTACATAGTTATAATAAAAATATAAAAATATGGACAGAAAGATTACACAAGCTTTAGAGCAGAAGCTACTCAGAGAAGATGGGTCAAGAAATAGGACCAGGTAAGAGAACACAGGGGGCTTCCAACAGATATATAAATTTATTTTGAAAGAAAGTATGACCTGAAGGGATGTGGCAAACACTAAGCCTTCATTTTATTATTCTCTGTACATTTCTGCATATTTGAAATAGTTTACAAAACACCTCTTAAACTTTCAGCATCCCAAGGAACAAACAACTGACAGCCTAAGAGGTCAGTCCAATACACAGTCTCCTGGAGTGTTTGGGAAGCCTCTGTGATTCAAATAAGGTGTAAGCAATCCCGCCGTACTGTCAGAGAGGGCAACATCTAGCCATCCAGATAAAACTAGGTACATGTCAACGGCAAGGATGCATGCTATAAACATGAGCTTTGGCCAAAAAACTTCCCATTCTTAAATTGTATGAACAAAAACTCTACCCCACAGAGGCCAGCGTTGCCCCAAAACCCTATCCATTTTCCTTGTCCTTGAAAAAAGTAGCAGTAGCAGCCACACATGGTTGCGAGCCAAACCACTTCATTAAGTACTGGCACCATCAGGTTTTAAAGGCTGTAGGGCATCTGAATGTACAAAAGAGTTTCCAGAATTCTCCACTATGTATGATGCAATCTTATTTGATCCCATCAATATCCATCATCAGACTGACAAAGAACAGGACAAGCTCGTAACACATGTACTTTAGAAACAACCAATTCAGAAAGAAATCAAAGTACCTATAACAGCCTTTTTCCTCTCTGTCTCAGCTTCTTTCTCCACAACCTTTTGTTTCTGTGCAGCTATAAGAAGTTTTGTCTTTTCAGCCTCCCTGTGAAGCAAAATATTATAAAAATTAGAAATGATGTGCAGTCACAGGCAGTAATTCTGACTCTATGGTGGGTCAGAGAACCATTTCAACACGAACTTTCTGATCCACTATGGTGCCAAGAGAGGTGTTACCTTATTTTACTTATAATAAATCTGAGGCTGAAAGGTTAAATGATTTGCCCAAAGTCACCCAGATACAGGCATCAAATTTATACATCTGAGTTTAGTCTGACCTTTTCCTCTAACTGTATCATGGAAAGGCCTGTGATCTGGAAGTACCCGGAGTATATAAATGGTTCTTTTACTGTTAGGCCTCCAGCTAGCCCATTCAGCACTCTGGGCCAAATAGCAAAATGCAACAACCTCTGGGCAGACGCAGTCCCTCAGGTACATGGTCTGACAAGCAGAATGGAGCTGGATTTCAGCCCCTCCTCAGGCACTCTTTTGCAGTGGCCCTGCTTGTTGTATGGAAGACATAATTAGGTGGCAGTTATTAGGTAGTGAACTAGTGCTCAATGTAAAGAAGACTTTTCTGAGAACCTGAGTGTTCTAATAATGGAAATGGCTGGCCTATCACTAAGCATGTACAAGTGGTGATTGGGTGACCACATGGCAGAAAAAGTATAAAAAAGACTACTATTAGGTGGAAGGTTAGATCTCAAGGTGGCTTTTAATTCTGGGATTTCAATAGTCTACAAAATTAGAAAGATCCAGATTTATCTGAAAAATAACTCCAAGAGTTTCCCTAAAACATTTCCCCCCAAAGATCTCTTCTTTCCTCCTGCCCAAATTGATAAAGACATAAAATGGCATTCTGGATACTACAAATTATTTGAGGGCAGAGAACATACAGTCTTCACGTTTCCATCACTAAAAGCTATCATGTTGAGAGCCTAAGGCATCCTGAGCCTTCAATTAAAAAAATTTTTTATACCAATGCATCAGACTCATGATCTACCCAGCCTGGCACTCTGCTTTATAGCTTCAAAAAAGAAGTTCCTTTTCTACAAATGAAAAGAGAAAATAAAACTCAGCATAATAAAAGATACAGACTCGGGAACAGTAAGGACTCAACCGTATATTACCCCAGGAAGAAGTATTATTACTTCTTGGATCCCCTATACTTATACAATCTGTTGTATTCTTGACTTGTGCAGTTATTTTTCCAGCATTTCATATTTTTCCTCTTCAAATACCAGCCAAATTTCCTAAAGACTTTTGTTTCTTCTTTTCACTACCTGTCACACAAGAATAATACTGCCATTTCAACTACAATAGGTATTCCCCTAATATGGATCTTCAGAACACTTAGAAATTAATTTCATGTCAAGCAAGTAACTTCTCATTCCCAGTCAGCCCTGGACACATAAAAGAGAAGACTACCAGGAGTCAATTAAGGCAAAGCTTCCCCAAAGCAAATTATAAAGATCTACGTGTCATTTTGGATACACAACCACATAAAATGAACATCAAACTTTACGCCAATAAAGTGTTTCTATTCTTACCATTACAACACAGTAACACAATACAGGCACTCCCTTCAACCTTACCAGCCAGGACTCCTTCTCTTCTCTATTAGTATTTAATTCAAGATAATCATGTCCAAATTACAATTCCTTAGCTTTCCAACAATAGCTCTATAGCAAACTGCATACTTAGCCTCTAATGCTGCTCCTGAAATGTTCATATATAAAGGGAAAACTCATAATAATCTAGTGAATTAAGACACAAGAATAGATAATATTATTAGAATTAAAGGACGGAAAATAGATATACACCCCACCCCAGAGTGTAATATCTCATATAGAAGTTTTCTCTACACTGGTATATTAATAAGTAGACAGCCCTAAAAAAAAATGTTGGGCTCCCAAGCATATTACTCACATTAACTCAAAATTTCTTCTTATGGCTTCTGGGATTTTGGGTTTTGTAACACGCACAGCCTAAAAAATAAAAGTGAAAAGCCAAAGTATATTTGAAAAATAAATCTTCAAACTAAATCTACAGAAAAGCTCCTCAATGAAAGTAATAAAGCAACTATGACATAGCTGCCTACTAACATGTGTGGAGATTCCACTAGAAAATCTGGTTTTCATGCCATCACACCAAGAATCAAAGATACTCTGCTTTTTACTTCCTTAAAAAAAAAAAAAAAAAAAAAAGCTTGGCTACAGGAAAAACCACTCTATCCACTGAGGAAATAAACTCCTTAAGGGAAAAGGTTCTCCCTTAAAAGACCTCCACAAAGCTCTTCAGTTGGATACTTTTGTTTCCTTTCCAGGCTTTCCAACCAAAGAAACACAAGGAAGGCAAAATTCCAAGATTTAAATTGTAAAGTAGGAAACAGTCAACAACAAAAATAAAAAAAAACAAAATTCAGGTCAGTATATGCAACTTAGTAACAGTAGACAATAAACATATTTACTGTTTCTTAAACCTGTAATCACTCAGTACTGGCTATACAGAAACAGTCCAAAGCTGAAGGAAAACAAATACCAGTTGACAGCTTACATTCTTTCTTGCCAGGAGCTCACTTAGAACAAAGTCTACTTGTCTTTTTTAGACATTGTTTACTAGACACTTTGTTTCCCTAACCGTAGTGTACTTTGACATTAATTAAGATTATCTATTTGGGAACTGCAGCTTTTTGAAGGCTGACTTCTCCATCAGAAAACTAATCTTTCAAAAGCTTTTGATTTAACCAGTTAAACATCACTCCCCGCACCCCCCTACATTACAAACACACACAACAAACTCCTGATGTGAAGAAAGTTTTAATTTCCCTCTGAAAACTGGCTAACCTTCAACAAAGCCTCTATGCACATAACCTTCTTTTAAAAGTCTTTTAAAAAGACTTAAAAACTTTTAAGCAACACAGCCTTTCCAACATGTGAGAGAACAGTCAAATCTGTGAAGAATTTGAGAGCTATCATAACTAAATACAAGAATTAGTGAAACGGAGAAAGAAGCTGGGGACTCTAGTGAGGAAAACTCATTACGTGCTGAAGGTGGGGCATATGAGGCCCTGAGGAACAACGCACAGATACCCAGAAGACAAAAATTCCTAACAAGCATTTGTGAGAGACGCCAGATTTCACGATGTGACTACCAGAACACAAATGACTTCCAGTATGTTTTAATATGATCCAGGAGGAAGCACTATCATTTTGCATTTAATTAAGAAACTGGCCATATATTTTTAGTCTTTTTTTTAAATGTTTATTTATTTTTGAAAGAGTGTGAGCAGGGGAGGGGCAGAGAGAGAGAGGGAGACAGAGGATCCAAAGTGGGCTCTGTGCAGAGAACCCAATGTGGGGCTCAAACTCACAAACCATGAGATCATGACCTGAGCTGAAGTTAGACGCTCAACCAACTGAACCACCCGAGTGCCCCAGGTTTGTTTTTTAAAAAGCATAAAATAGGACTGTCTTCTGAAGATTTCTATTTTGCTGTATGAGGGAGGCTGAAGAACATACTACATGCTTGCCAATCTTGGGAGTCTCATAATTTTCAAGTATGTGTAAAGTAAGCACCCACTGTAACAGGTAACGTAAGTTATCATAACAGACTTAAAAAATAAAATGACAACATATCCCAAAACAATGCCCAAACACACACACACACACACACACACACACACACACACACACACACACTTAAGTGGAGAGGGTAAAAAAGCTAATGAAATGAATATATCTGAAAGTGACCACTGGGGTATAAGCATGTATTTTATTTTATTTATTTATTAAATGTTTATTTTTGAGAGAGAGAGAGAGAGCATGAGCAAAGCGGGGAAGGAGCAGAGAGAGAGGGGGACAGAGGATCCAAAAGAGGCTCTGTGCTGACAGTAGAGAGCCCGATGCAGGGCTCGAACTCCCAAACTGTGAGATCATGACCTGAGCTGAAGTCAGACGCTTACCCGACTGAGCCACCAAGGTGCCCCTAACCATATATTTTAAATGGAAAGCCAGCATATAATATAGTCACTCTCTTACATAAGAAAAAAAATATTTAAAAAATATCAAAGACACATATTTTCACCACTCAAATTTGCCACAGCAGTTGTTCAAGAAGAAAAAAGTATAAATACAGACAAGGGAAAAATTAAATACTGATTATTACAGAGAATGCTTGTAAGTGTTAACTGGGTGCCTCATCTGTGCCAAGTACTGTTTGTTCTAGGCACTATGAATACAACAATGAACAAGGTGAGACTGCTCTCATGAAATTGAAATTTTTAAGGGGAGAAAACACAATAGATAACAACAAAAAGCAAATAAATGAATAAAAAAGTTGCAGATAGCTATGAGTGTCATGTGAAGAATTAAAATAGGATGACTCGGAGACTGGGAAACACTAGGTTGTGGAGGGGAAAATTAAGATTTTTATTTTGGCATAATTATATAAATAAAAATCTAAGGAAATTCATAGTTTCAGTCAAGTAAGATATATAGGTCTAAAGATCTGTTGTAGAACATCGCACATACTGTCAATAATGTATTATGCACTTAAAAATTTAAGAGGGTAGATTTCGTGTTAAATGTTTATACTACATGCACAACAAACAAATTCAAGGAAATTAACCAAAAAACTTTATTAGAGACAGTGAAGTCAACAAACTAGTAGATACACAATAAATTCACCAAGAATCATTTGGATTCCTCAATGCTTACGCAAAAAGAGACAACATATTTAATAGCATTAAAATTCAGTAAATCCATAAGTATTAATTTAATTTGGGATATGGGCTTCTCACCTAGGTCAGAAATTCTAAAAGAAACAAAAGTGATGATATGCCTAAGTAAAACCATAAACTGTGTTCCTAATTTTAAACTTATATGCCAATTTAGATACCTGATATAGCTTGAAAATATCAATAATGAAAACTTATCTGGAAGAATAAGCTGGCAGAAATACCAAAGGCCACTATTTTTGAAAAGATAATATATCTTACGAGATTTTAAAAGTGAATAAAAAGTTGAATTATCATAACAGACAGTAATGTGTTAAAGAAGGAAGGCTGACAAATAGCCTGGAAGATCTGAAAAAGCATTCCAGCTCTCGTAAGAAACTTAAAAAAAATTTTTTTTAAATGTTTATTTCTGAGAGAAAGAGAGAGAGAGACAGAGCATGAGTGGGGGAGGGGTAGAGAGAGAGGGAGACACAGAAATCAGAAGCAGGCTCCAGGCTCTGAGCTGTCAGCACAGAGCCCGACGAGGGGGATCATGACCTGAGCCAAAGTCGGTTGGGTCGCTCAACCGACTGAGCCACCCAGGTGCCCCTCGTAAGAAACTTTTATGACAAGATTAAGCAACCAAAACAATGAAGATCTTGATCAACCAGTTAAAAACGTATTACAAAGCGACATTTTTTTCATTCAGTGACTGGTTTTATAAAAACAACTAAATGTAACTAAATTTGAAAGATCTTTCTCACTGCTATGCAGAAAATGACGTTAAGGTAAAAGTGAAAGTGCGGCAACATGAGAGGAGGTGAGATGGTGAGAGATAGTGACTTGGCTTAATGAGGTGGCAGTGAAGATGGAGGAGTGAACAGTTTTATGGATTTTGGTGGTAAAATCAGCAGGATATGGGGTCTGATTAGATGCCAAGGATGAGAGCATTGTCAAAGATGCCTCCCACATGTCTAGATTTGATGAAGAGAAAGAGGGGTCATTACTAACAAGATGGAAAAAATAAGGCAGAAACAGATTTGATGGGAAAAAGTTTAGGGCTGAAAACTAATGAAGGAATAGGAAACGGAAAGATCAATGGAATAAAGTCCAAAAAAACAGTACAACATAATAGGATTCAGCAGGCAATACAAATGGTATTTCAAACAAGGGAGATGGAGGCATAAATTATTCAGTAATTCTTGTTGCTACCAAATTGGGGGACAGAGAATTGGAACCCTACCTCACAACTGACATCACAATGGATTCCAAATGAATTAGAGATTTAAATCTATTTTTTTTAATTTATTTATTTTTGAAAGACAGAGTGTGAATGGGGGAGGGGCAGAGAGAGACAGACAGAATCTGAAGCAGGCTCCAGGCTCTGAGCTGTCAGCACAGAGCCTGATGTAGGGCTCAAAGAACCGTGATATCATGACCTGAGCTGAAGTCGGACACTAAACTGACGGAGCCACCCAAGCGCCCCTTTATTTTTGAGAGAGGGAGAGAGAGAATGCGAGCGGGGGAGGGCTACAGTGAGAGGGAGACAGAGGATCCAAAGCAGGCTCTGTGCTAACAGCAGATAGCCTGATGACACGGGGCTCGAATTCATGAACCTTGAGATCATGACCTGAGCCAAAGTCAGACGCTTAACCAACTGAGCCACCCAGGTGCCCAAAGATTTAAATCTAAAAACACAACTGTAAAAGCAGAGAAAAATGTGGTAATGTCCAATTTTATTTAAATTTCTATATTATAAAGTGGGGAAAGTGGCTTAAAGTACACCAGCACTGCAAAAAACCATAAAGGAAAAAATACTAAAATTACTACATAAGTTTAAAGCTTCAGAATTGCCAGGGGGGGGGGGGGTTGAAATTAAATTGTAAAAAAAAAAAAAAAAAAAAAAAAACAAAACTAGGAGAAATGTTTCCCATGCATTTAAGAGTTGTAATAACTAACATAATTCACAAATGAAATACAAATGGCCAAAAAATATCCTAGGGCATTCAACCTCAATAATTAATAGAAAATACCAGAATAATTTCTCTGAAAGGATGGAGAGTGGGCATGCATCTGTTTTTGGGTACACTCACAATCTAATGTGTAGGAAACTACAGCTCACCAACACTAATGATGACATATGTAAGATACTAAAATTTTTTGAAAGGCCATTTGGCAATATGCATCAAAAGGCCTCCAAACAGGGCATATAGTTTGACTCATCAATCCTACACTTAACTTAATAATTTGTTTAAGGAACATACTTTTTGGGGATGAGCACTGGGTCTCATATGTAAAAGATAAATCACTGGGTTCTACTCCTGAAGCCAAAACTACACTGTATGTCAACCAACTTGAATTTAAATTATAAATAAATAAATAAATAAATAAATAAATAAACAAACTAGAAAAAAAAAAGAATCTATTGTAAGGGAAGGATTGTAGAACCCTATCATTGCAACGTGTGTGACAGTAAAAATTGGAACCACAGACTAATTAAATAAAGCCATTAAAGGTGATGATGTAGTGAATCTATATTTTTGACTTGAAAAGATGCTTATATATACTGTTAGTGAAAAAAGCAGCTATGGTATGATTCCATTTTAACATTATTTATACCTATAAACAAATATACGCTCCTCTAGATTAAGAAGAATCTAAAAAAATACAACTGTTATCCCTGCAATGGTATGACTATGGGTAAATTTCGTTTTATTATTCATCTTTCCCAATACCTAATTTCTTTACAACACACAGAACATGTTTGTATAAAAATATTCAGAATATACAAAATACAACAACAAATCAGTAAGAAAATTAAAACAATACAACAGAAAAGTGGGCAAAGGATATGAATAGGCAATTGACACAATAGCCAAAGAAAAAAAAAATCAAAAGATGCTCAACTTCATTAATAACTAAAGAAATGCAAATCAAAGAGAGATAGAACATCACTCCATACAGCAAAAATTAGCATATCTAATTGCTTCAAATGCTTGTGAGGTTTACGTAGAAACAAGTATGCACATATATTGTTAGTAAAAATAAAGATTTATACAGGTTTTTGAAAGATAATTTGTACATAACAAGGAGATGTGTCAAGAATGTTCACTACCCTATTGTTTATTAATAGCAAAAAATTGGCAACAACAGAGAACTAATTATGTAACATAAGGCAAAGAATTCTAGGCAGCTGTTAAGAAGAATGAGCTACATCTCCCAAGTAACAACTTAAGGAGAATCTAAGAATCTGTCACATTCATATTTTTTATCTTTATTTTTTCATATTTTTTACCTTTAAAATTGAAAAGCAACTCCAGCCACAACTGAATGGACAACCAAGAGGATTTTATGAAGTTAGCTGTGGACTTTTCAAATGACCTCTTAACTTTGGCAACACCCCCTCGGCACCAGTCGGAGATAATGGCACAGCGTGAATGGGAAAAGGGAAAACCCTCACCACCTTTCCAGTCTTGTTTCTGAGCTCACATATGATCACTCACAGTGAAGGTACATTCTCAATGGTGTGACACTTCAGACATGTGACACCAAAAAAAGTTTTCTCTTTAGCTGCAGTAACATTCGTCACCACAATAGCAGATCTCCTAGAAACTCTAAGAAAGGACACTAGAGAAGCCATATTACCACTTCTCAGGTAATCCAGATCTACAGCAACACCTTTTAACGTTATTGACCATGACCAGAGTGAGACATGTATTTTACAGTGACACCCAATATAAACACCTACACACTTAAATAAAAAAAAATTTCACAGAATGACAAACTTAGTACATGTCATGTGCTCTGATTTCTTTTCCTCTTCAATTTCATTTTATTTACAATGCTGGTCATGATCCACTAAAATTGATTTTAGAATCTACTTATGGATTTCAACCCAATATGAAAATATACTGACCCACAAAAGCAGGCATATAATCTCTCACCATTCTATCTCCTAATACCACAGCCGCCACCACCACGACCACCAAATTCACCTGCTATCTTACTTTCATTCAGGCCATGCTACCCACTTGAAATACCTTCCTTATTCCTCCCCCCCCATATAAATCCTGATAATTCTTCCATTCCCATCTAAAATCCCAACTCAATCATAGTCGTTTCCAGGCAGACTCTCTTGAAATGTTCTATAACTCTAAACTCTTACAGCAATAATCATCCAATCAATATATCAATTAATCATACATGACATCTATTTTGATAGAATTATTATTCAAATTTTATATTTGAAATCCTTGTTCAAAACCTTACTGAGACTAAAGCCTTACTCTTACAATGATTTACCACCATTATTGTATCTTAATAATGCCTCACATACAAGCGGTGCACGGATTTCATTTCCTTGTAAGAGTCTTTCAGCTTATCTGTTCCTTCTAAGAGTTCAGAAGAAAATGACACCCAGGGTAAGCTACAAGACTATTTTACTTTGCAGAGACCTAAAGTCAAAGTGAGAAAGCTATTCTATAAAATACCTTAGCGCTTCAATTCAGTAACTGCTGAATAAACAATGTCCAATGAAAGAACAATTAAATTCAAAGCCCTCAAAATTCCTAGAGATTTTCCCTAAGAAAAGGGCTTACCTGTATGGTGAGGCCTGGAGCCATGATGTTCAAATCTTTCTGCAGAGCTTGCTTCAGATTTTCATCTATTTGATCTGTTTTTGAGGCCAAGAACAACAATTCTCATGATACTCAAAAAATAATTTTTCCATTGTATTAACACTGAAAAAAATCCAATCACTATTAGACCTAAAGTTTCCATGGTACTGTTCTTTTGTAAAGCTTAAACCACTGCACATATATATGAAAACAAAACTACCTACATGTTATAAATGTATAAATTATTACATATATTTAAAACTTATATTTAATTTTCCTTTTGTATAGGAGAAAATGTGAAGAACTGTCAAAGAAATTAAGGAAGAAAGATGATAAACAGGTTATTTATCAGAAGAAAAATGATAAACAGGTTGTTTATCCAATAAATGGAGACTCTAAGTCTCTAATATCTTAATTCAGTGTTGTTACTTAATATGTGTCCTGATTATCATAAAAACCAAATTCCTATCCTCAATCCTTAACCCGAATCTCCAAATAACTAAATTTCATTTCCATGGACCTCTGCCCATTATTTTGGATTTAAAAAGGGTGCCTGGGTGGCTCAGCAGGTTAAGTCTCTGACTTCAGCTCAGGTCATGATCTTGCGGTTTGTGGGTTTGAACCCCGTGCCAGGCTTTGTGCTGGCAGCTCAGAGCCTGGAGCCTGCTTCAGATTCTGTGCCTCTTGCTCTCTCTCTGTCCCTCCCTTGCTCATGCTCTGTCTTGCCCCGTGTCTCAACAATAAATAAATAAATGTCTAAAAAAAATATTTTTTAAATAAAAAGGGAGGGGGGAGAGTTCACGGGAAGGTCTTTGAAGTATACAAGAATGGACAATAAAGCTATCACTTCACTTGGCTTTTTAACTTATAAATTTTCTACCTCAATAGTACTCTCACCATTATTAAAATGACCAGTGATGTGACAAATCAGGACAGTTGTCTCATACATCTAGGAGTTGTGAATCATCAATGAGGGATCAATTGGTAGATCTCTAAAATGATTAACCATCCCTATACCTGCCTGTAAGAAATTCACTAAGAATTCCAGGAGGGAGAAGTGAGCAACCAACAGCAACAACCCAATCATGGGTCACAGCTTTCACTATCACAAATGAAAAGTAACTTGTGCAGAAAAGAGTTAACATAGCAGTCCTAAAGCTGTGATCCTTAGAAAGGCTTGTCTGTAAGTTGGCCTTTGGCTGTCACCTGGGAACTTGAATTTGGAAAGGATTTCCACTATTCCAGGAACTGGTAAGAATGACTCACTGTGCCTAAACTGTTCATACAACCAATGTGGTTTACGCTGAACATGTGCCTTCCTTCTGGGAGTCTGGAATTTTGTTATGTACTAGGCAGAGGATGCCTATATGTTAGCTTCCAATAAAAATTCAGGGCAGTAAGTATCTAATGAGCTTCCCTAGCAGACAACATTTCATATGTGTTGTCACCGTTTAATACCAAAGTGTATCCTTGCATGACTCCACTGGGAGAAGATTCTTGGAAGCTTGTGCCTGGCTTCCTCTGGATTTTACTTTGTATATTTTTTGCTATAATACATCTTAGGTGAGAGTAGAACATATATTGAGTCCGGTCAGTCTTCCTAGCAAATCATCAAACATGGGGGTGGGTCTTGGGAAACACTAAGAAACAGACTTCTACTAAATTTTCCCAAATTATCTATTAAAATAACAAAGCTAATTTTCACTAAATTATCATAGTAAAAAAACAGAATATAGTCTATAAATAATGATCCTTTTCTAATCTCTATCAAGTTATACATAGTGCATTTCAGAAAATGGTTCTCATTCTTAAAATATCTTTTGAGTAACTATTTGCTTAATTTAATGATAAGAAATTTTAAACTTCAGGTAAAGAATATTTTAAAGACAAATGCTCTATTATAAATTCAGAAGAAATGCTGAAATAACATAATGTTTACTAATATTGTTATAGCGTCCACAGAGTTGACTAAGATTTCCAACTAATCATTCACATATTTAAAACAAATAAGACACTCACCAAACAATTCAATGTAAACTTCTTGAAGTGTATGGGCACTGCAAAACTGGTTCAGTTCATGGTGGATTTTATTGAAGATTAAGGTCTTGTCATAATCTGCAGTGTAGTTCCTCACGATATCAAACACTGAAGGAGAGGTACAATCCATTTTTACCCATGTACCTTCTAATTCAGCCAAGGTAAAAGTTATAATATACGCGAGAAAAAGTGACAACAGAATAGGAAAACATGAAATACAATTCACAAACATTGAGCATTTCTTGTGCTGAATTTTCCAGATATTACTACATTTGCAATTCTAATGGGCAAATTTTGAATTCCATACTAAGAAGAGTCTACATTATCTTGGAGGTAATAAGGAACTGTCAAAATTTTCAAACAAGGGCATGACACAATCACATTTGTACTGTGGCAGCAGTGTGAAGATGAACTGTGGGGCAGAGCAAGTATAAGGCAACTACTGCAAAGCAAAAGTTTAGCTAAGAGGTAAAGAGGGCCTGAATCAATTGAAGAACAGTGGAAATAAAAGAAGGAAGCAGCTGCAAACGACCATTTTGGAAAGGTGATTTTTTTGTTTTTCCTCAGATTTTTATTTAAATTCTAGTTAGATAACATAGAGTGTAAGGTAAGTTCCAGGAGTAGAATTTAGTGATTCATCACTTACATATAACACACAGTGCTCAAGTGCCTTCCTTAGTACCCATTCCCCATGTAGCCCATCTCCTCCCCAACGAAAAGGTAGTTTTTAAAGGCTGTAAAAAGATACCAGGCTCAAAGGAGAAGAAGCAAACGTTCACTGGGCCAGGCTTTATATCAGGGAATTTATGTATATTACCACTTAATTTCCACAAAAAACCCCTCCAAATTTTGCATAATAGGAAACAGAATTTCAAAAATGTGCCTAAGGGCACATACTAGCTAACACCAGATCCATGCTCTACCTATTAAAACATTGCTTTCTTCCTTCAGACCCAAAGACTAGTTCTACTGGCTTTCCCACAGAGGAAATCAGGTATAACTGGATTCCAGATCACAACTGATAGGCCATCAATAAATACTTGCTGACTAACTCATTTGCTTGGTCATTACCAAATGAACTGCTGATCCAACAGTTTCCTTATCTCTGGTTAGAGCACCAGCAATAAATTCCCTTCTTCTATTTTTCCAATCATAATCCATTCCACTGATTTGTAACCAGGGAAAGTAGATGGAAAAAAAAGACAAGGCAAATAATAACTGAAAAATATAATCCAAATCCACTTGACAGTAATACAGCTTGCTCTCTACTCTGAAATTCTTTTGCTATTTGTGCCTGTACCAGTGCCATGAAATTTAGCATGACCTTGTATTCCAACATACATCAATACACACATACATCTATGTATATATGTGTGCTGGTATCATGTCTTCTGAAGTACAATAAAAAAACCCTTAGGGAAAAGGCTCTAACTTCACCTTTTTAAGCTGTTTTTGTCAAACACAGTATCCTATACGTATCAACATACATGCAAATTTTAATAAAAAGGATCAAGATAAAATGGCAGATCTTTCAAATGAAAGCAGAGTCTCAAACAGACCCACATACACCTGTGTTCATAGAAGTATTATTCACAATAGCTACAATGTGGAAGCACTCCAAGTTTCCACCAATGGATAAGTGGACAAACAAAATGTGGTATATACACAAAGTATTATTCAGCCTTAGAAAAAAAGGAAATTGTGGCACATGTTACAACATTGACGAACCTTGAGGACATTATGCTAAGTGAATAAGCCAGTCACAAAAAGACAAATACTATGGTTCCACTTATTATAAGGTACTTAAGAGTAGGCAAAATCAGAGACAGAAAACAGAACAGTAGGTGCCAGGGGCTGGGGAGAGAGGGAAATAGGAGTTAATGTTTAATGGGTAGTTTCATTTTTGCAAGATGAAAAGAGGTAGATGGCGTTAATGGTTGCACAACAATGTGAATTTTTTTTTTTAAGATTTTATTTTTAAGTAATCTCTACACCCACTGTGGGGCTTGAACTTATAACCCTTAGATCAAGAGTCATATGCTCTATGAACTGAGCCTGCCAGGCACCCCTGTGAATGTATTTAATACCACTGAACCGTACACTGAAAAATACTTGAGACTGTAAATTTTAAGTTATATGTATCTTACCACAATAAAAAAAAAAAAAAATTGGGGAGAAAAAAAATCAAACTTAAAAAAAAAAGCAAATCTTTCTCCATAACTTCTAAGTTTTTGATTTGAATAGTAACCACTCCATCTCTGTGGCTTTTCATCTTTTACCAAGGAAGTGTTTTCCCCATACTGAGAACTTTCAGATCACTTTACAAGTTATAGCAAATCTCAACTAGAAGTTTTCTATGGTTATAAATCAATGTGTTCTGATCTGTTACAGATTTTTAGCATGCAAGAAAATTCTCTCATCCTGACTGGATAAAATGCTACTTTCTAGAAACTCTAGAAATAATCAATGACCATCTTGCTCTTCGAAAACTCAGATGAGAGAAGAGTAACACATAAAGTTACAGAAAGTCAACTCTGTTTAGGACTTGTGACCTGTTTCTGCCACCATTTCCCAGAAATGGAAAAGATTCTCATTTTTTTATATATATCAGAAATGAATGAGGTCATAAAACTTTAAAACTACCCTTTTATTCCTTAAGGAATCTCTTCAGATATAAATACTCTAATTGTAACTATAAAAACAACAGAATAGGGGCGCCTGGGTGGCGCAGTCGGTTAAGCGTCCGACTTCAGCCAGGTCACGATCTCGCGGTCCGTGAGTTCGAGCCCCGCGTCGGGCTCTGGGCTGATGGCTCAGAGCCTGGAGCCTGCTTCCGATTCTGCGTCTCCCTCTCTCTCTGCCCCTCCCCCGTTCATGCTCTGTCTCTCTCTGTCCCAAAAATAAATAAAATAAAATAAATAAATAAATAAATAAATACAACAGAATATATGGGTACCATACCTGCACAGGGGGCCAACATATTAACCACTTCTATTCGGTCAATATAGATCATGACTCCACCACTAAAAACAAAGAAATGGAAAAAGTGTGAGCTAAATAAAATTTATCATAATCCCAGATTCCCACATTGTCAAACATATCCCACATGGTAGACATTTAGAAGGAAAATCTAAAGTCATACACTACTCATTAATTAAAATAACCACTACTCAATCACCACTCAAACATCCCTGTACACATTTAATCTGGCTCCTCTCATAACCAAGTCTCACCTCTGTAACTGAAGCAATCAAATCAGCTCACATGAAGACTAAATGTATAACGTAGGGCTACTTAGGCACTTTGCCCTTATTAACTGAAGCCAACAGCTAACGCAGTACACTTCTCAAACTTTTCCATCAAGGGACCAAGTAAAATGGTTCCCCAAGGTGTATTAAGGCCAGCCACGGGCTGACATTTTTTTTTTTTTTTTTTTTTTGGTCTCCTGCCTTATCTTAATAATTCATGAGGAGTTTTAATCTTTTTAAACTGTATTTACTCTAATATGAAAAAAGACTTTCTCCTCAAACCCTCAAGTAAAGTTGACACTGCAGAAAGATAGGTCTTGTTAAGTAATGGCTTCCTGTACTTCCTGGCCTATTAGCACAGACCCTGAGGTACATGTGAATCTCAATTTAAGATTCATGAAGTGAGAGATTTTGAAACTAAACAACTAAGTCTTCCTAACAACTTACAAGGACATTTTCTTTCTGATATAAAAGGTAATACCTGCTCACAGAAAAAAATCTGAGAAAATAAGGGAAGCATGAAGATAAAATTTACCCCAAATCTCATCAGCTGCCAATTTTGAGTCCTCTCTAAAGGAAATCCATAAAAGAGAGTTACAGAGAGATCTAGGAAGAACCTGATATCAAATATATAAACTTAAAACAGAGGGAAATTCTCCCTTTTTACAAGCATTTCTGTCCGTCCAGAGATGGCCAAACCTCTTTTACAGGCTTGTAATACTGACAGTCATTTCAAATAGGGCATTTAAAAAAATACCTTGAATTTTACACTCTTTTTTTTGTTACACAATTCAATGTTCTGATTATACTCTAGAAATAATTTAGGCTTTGCTTGCTGTTCTGTCCCTAAAACTCTTTAGGGCAGAGACTTTCAAAGTAAGGTCCCCAGACCAGCAGCAGCAGTATCACCTGGAAACTTCTGCTAGAAATGCAAATTCTTGAGCCTCATTCCAGACCTCATGAACCAGAAACTCTAATTAGATAGCATTTAGTAGTACAGATGACAAGAAAGTGAGATGATTTCATTCGAACTATTTGTTATTGAGTACGTACTCTGAGTCAAGTGCTGGTTAGGCACTTTATATACACTAATCCTAATCCTCACAATAACCCTGCAAGATAGGTCTTATTACCCAACTTGTACAAACAAGAAAACTAAGCCTAACTAAATCCATAAAGGCATGTATGGGAACAAGGAGTATATGGGAACTCTCTGTCCTTTTGCTTAGCTATCAAACTATAAGTGCTCTAAAAAATAAAGTCTATTATAAATTTTTTTTTTTCAACGTTTATTTATTTTTGGGACAGAGAGAGACAGAGCATGAACGGAGGAGGGGCAGAGTGAGAGGGAGACACAGAATCGGAAACAGGCTCCAGGCTCTGAGCCATCAGCCCAGAGCCTGACGCGGGGCTCGAACTCACAGACCGTGAGATCGTGACCTGGCTGAAGTCGGACGCTTAACCGACTGCACCACCCAGGCGCCCCAAAAATAAAGTCTATTAAAAAAAAAGTCAACAAAGCACACAGGGCAGTGCTGATGTATGAAGTTAGGTCTGCCGGTTCCGAAACTACTTTTTCCAGTACCAAATGGCTTCTAAGATGGAAAGCTTGGAGACACAGCTTTACTCAAATAATGCTCAGAAAAGAAATCCTCCTGGGTTACTATCATGTCTATCTGAAAGATTAGTTTAAGTAATCACAGTTTGTGGACAGAAACTCCATCTGAATTAAAGAGAGGTTAGTAAGCAAGGGGAAAAGCTTACCTTGTTCCACAAGGCACATTTTTAACTTCATCAGTTTGTAGTGTTGTCTGAGGAAAAAAAAAATATTTCATGAATACTCAGGACACATATTGTCAAAGAACTACTGGTCCCAGAAGAAAACCTACAGAGAACTGCTAAGAGGTAAGTACAGAAGAGCTCCATTACAATTTCAGTCCCCAAAGATTAGCTATCAGAGTAATTTCTTTTTGCATCCTAGTAGATATGAGAAATAAAACAAAATATTTTATAGCTAATGTCCTAATCAAGATGCATATGGACAACCCAGAGTGGAAAGATTGGGGGTGGGAGCTGGGGCCAAAAAAAAAAAAAAAGGCACCCTTAGAAAGTTTCAATGTTGGGGCGCCTGGGTGGCTCAGTCGGTTAGGCGTATGGCTTCGGCTCAGGTCATGATCTCACAGTTCGTGAGTTCGAGCCCCGCGTCGGGCTCTGTGCTGACAGCTCAGAGCCTGGAACCTGTTTCAGATTCTGTGTCTCCCTCTCTCTCTGCCCCTCCCCTGCTCATGCTCTGCCTCTCTCTGTCTCCAAAATAAATAAAAACGTTAAAAAAAAAAAAAAAAGAATTAAAAAAAAAAGAATTAAAAAAAAAAAAAAAAAGAAAGTTTCAATGTTTAGTCTCTCAGAGTCCCTTATTTGCCTGGAGCTGGCCTAGGATTGCAAACTACATGGCTTACCTACAAGGATACTACCATTAGGACTTCTGCTCTGAACTTTAATTGCACTGCATATTCTGGACACACTGAACCTTATTTAAGAATACAGCAACATATTATTTTATGCAATACAAACAAAAAAGGAAGCATGATCTTTGTTTCTAAAAGCTCACAATCCCACATAAGACATAAAATCCTCATAAAGCAATTGATGACATGTACACAATAACAGATTATAAACTGAATTGCTAGGTAAGTGATAAAGAGTAGAATAATAGTTTGGAAAGCTCTCCGAGGTGAAGTATTTATAAGCCACGTCTAGAGGAAGAGAAATAAGAACACATCTTAGGTTCAATAGCTCCTCGTGCCAGGAGTTTCTTCAGTGCTGAGCATATAGACTGTACATTATGAAGAACACACAGGAAGACCTTGTGACGGTCACTGGCTTTTTGCTTTTACTGCGCTTAAGTAACAAGTATTGGCAAATGACACTTTCTCCTGGCCCTGCCCATAGGGACCAACACTGTTGTCTTTCCAGTCCAAACCATCCATCTTTCTCTTGCCTGAGTGCGAAGGGAGGCAGTCCATCTAGGAAATGGGACCATGAGGCTACACTTGAGGAACATCTGGACTGCTATTCTGGAGCTTTATTTCTGGTGTGTTTGTTTCACTGTTGTTTGAAATGTTTAATAAAGCTTCAAAAATTTAAAAAAGGAGCTATCCTATCAAATACACACAACTGAGGACAAACCACATGTATAATGATAGGAAGCAAGCTGGCTTGCCTGGAGCAAAAGGGGCGATATAGAGGAGAGTGCAAATTCTGAGAAGAGAATGTGAAATTAGACAGTGGGTCCTAAATGTTCACTGGTGGGCTTGGGCTCTCCCTAGCTCATCTAACATACAGCCACCAAATGAACCTTTCAAAATATGTTTTTTCCTAATTTCTGTGCTTATATGTGACGCAGTCCTCATTATCCATCTTATCTGGAGGTAGAAAAACCAGCTGGGAAGCTAAAGTATTGATTTATTTAAGTTAATGTAGTAAAAGCTATGGAAATTGAAAGCTGTCAGTCCAGGAGACCTAACAGAGGAAGGATGTAATAACTGGTTGCATATAACATTCCAGGGGAGAAAAGAATAGAATACAACCCTAGGGTTGGGAGATTAGGGTGACGGTAAACATTAGTGACAGGTTCTAGGCACAGTGAGGGGAGGTGAAGAGAGGAGTTCAATTTATTTCCTTCAAAACATTAACCAAATTCAATTTCCATATTCCACGTCAACTCTTAATATACATTCCTATTTTAACCTTGGGGCGCCTGGGTGGCTCAGTCGGTTAAGCGGCCGACTTCAGCTCAGGTCACGATCTCGCGGTCCGCGAGTTCGAGCCCCGCGTCGGGCTCTGGGCTGATGGCTCAGAGCCTGGAGCCTGCTTCCGATTCTGTGTCTCCCTCTCTCTCTGCCCCTCCCCCGTTCATGCTCTGTCTCTCTCTGTCTCAAAAATAAATAAAACGTTAAAAAAAAAAAAAAATTAAAAAAAATAAACCTAGAGGATAGGGGCACCTGGGTGGCTCAATCGGTTAAGTGTCCAACTTTGGCTCAGGTCATGATCTCACAGTTTATGAGTTCGAGCCCAGGGTCCGGCTCTGTGCTGACAGCTTGGAGCCTGGAGCCTGCTTCAGATTCTGTGTCTCCCTCTCTCTGCCCCTCCCAGACGTGTACGCATTCGCATTAAAAAAATTTAACAAAAAACAAACCTAGAGGATATTCTCTAACCTTAAAGAACTAGGAAAGAGTTCAAACATTAAATCCTCAATATCCTATCTTCATGTCCTTTTATAGTTCTTTTAAATTATCTCCAAAATCATCATCTTCCCAGTATGAATATTTATTTTAAGTCTCTTTAGGGGCGCCTGGGTGGCTCAGTCGGTTGGGCGACTGACTTCAGCTTAGGTCATGATCTCATGGTCTGTGGGTTCGGGCCCCATGTCGAGCTCTGTGCTGACAGCTCAGAGCCTGGAGCCTGCTTCAGACTCTTTGTCTCCCTCTCTCCCTTCTCTTCCCCTGCCTTATGTTCTATCAAAAATAAATAAACATAGAAAAAAAAATTTTAAGTCTTTAGTTATGTAATATACTTTAAAGGCTGAAAGTTTTTATATTTCCCTAAGCATAGCTTTTTTTCTTTTTATTTCATATACAGGATTTCACATTTCCCGAGATGCTACTTATACATTCCTTTCAACTGCCAAGTTCGTTAAGCCACTTGTTTATACAGGTTGTCTTCTCATGCGTTCCAAAAATTCCTAAAAGTAAATGTCTTGTTCTTAGAACAGTTTCTTAAAAGTTTTATTAATGCAATCCTTTCCTAGAATGTTATTGTGTCCCGTATGAAGAAAGAGCACTACCATTTAGCCACAATGGATCCAGCCTTTAATATTTTGTAGATGTATATTAGTTTACACTAAAATCTTTTTACAAATTTCATGTCTTAATAGTTTGACAATTTATTATTATATATGTATATATACATATACACTGCATATTTGCTGTATGCAGCTAACCTTTAAATTTGTTTTAATGTTTACTGTCTGTATCTCTTATATATCTCCGCATCAGTATGACTCAAAATACTAAGCTCCAAGAAAGCAGAAACAGATTTGACTGACTTTGAACAAGATTTTTAAAAAGCTCCTTATCTCTAAGGGTCTGATGATGCCATTGATAACATCATTACTGACTGGGCTGTTGTTGAGGTCATGTAATTAAAACCCCTTCTTTCATGGAGGAATAACAATGGTTAAGTCATTTTTGCAAAGTCATGTAACCAATTAGTGCCAGAGCCAGAGCCATTACCTAAGTCTCCAGGTTTCTGGCCCCATGTTCACTACACCATACTGCTTCCTAAGAAATCAGCTCAATTTAACAACTTTCATAAGCAGAAAGGTCAGAAATACAAATGTGTTACAACCTCTGCCTTCAGGAAGTTTGGAGACTCTCTGGAAAGAAAATACACAAAGCAACTTTGAGAGTACAAACAACATTACTAAAGGAAACATGACTAAGAGCCAAAATTTACCATACAGACTTTAGGAGCTATAGATTAGAAGAAGGATTTGCAGTGAGACTTTAAAAGGTTAGCAAGATTGAGATAGGAGAGCAGTAATGAAGGAGAGTTGGTGAGAGAAGAGGTGACAACATGAACCAAGGTAAGAATGAAAAAATAAACAAGGGAAAACAATATGGAAATAAGTCTGACTAGGAGAAGAACACTACATTTCACTTCAATGGACACAATTCTTGCCCAAAGCCATCTAAAAGGGAACTGGAAGGAAATCTGGAGGATTTAAGTATTCGTAATGAAACTCTCACTAGAAGGAAGCCTAGACTTAAATTACAAGATTAAAAACATTGAATTTTCCTGAGTTCTGGAAAAATTAACAGCAGATGCTACACAAACTTCTGAATCCAATGATGTATGATCACACTGAGGTTGCAAAAGTAGGCACAATCTAATCCTGTTTTTTCATCTTGTTATAACAAAAGATATTTACTAACTGTCTCCCAAAGCCAAGATACTGTTTTCAACGGACAGATGCTTATTTCAAATATTCTGGGATGCTGTCAAAATAAAACACTCAAAAAGGTTCCATATAAAATTGTGCTTAATGTCCCAGGCAGAAAAGTTGTGTGTAAAAATTCAGATCCTCCTGGTTAACAGTGGCCCAAGAACTGGTCTCTATGGAAACCAAACACCTTTCTAAACCAAGTAATCACTGGTTTGTACTTCTGTGTTTCAAAGTCCTATTTTACTTTGACATGAGAAACAAAAAACATGCTGCATACCACTATATAGATGGGGGAGGTGGGTCCTTCCAAGTTGCCTGGCTCATACTTCTAACACACTTCAAGAGAGTGAGGTGGTTCAAAACCAGAACTTGTGCTGTGACAGTTGTACTCTGAACTTTGTAACTCCTGCTTTTAAGTAAATACCACCATTTGTTTAAGCAATAAGGAAATCCACCTCCACCCATGAATGTGGTAACTATTCCTGTCACACTTGTCTACCCAGCGTGGGGGCTTCCCTAGGAATCACTCACCTGCACAGATCTGAACGTAGTAATGAAAGGCAACATGATATGATAGCCTGGTCCACTGGGGCTAGTTAGTAAAGCTCCTCCCCTGCAAAAAGATGTTTCAATTTGACAAGATTATAAAGACAGAAATCCTCTTTCCAAATCTAAAATGCTATAATAAATATTCACTCTTACTCATGCTATGGACCTACTAAAGCCTCACTAATATGAGTTGCTCATGAGGAACAATTACTGGTCTCTAAAATATCTGCCAAAGGTGAAAAAAGATCAAATTAAACTGCCAATGTTACACTTTGTTTCATAAGCTCAAACAAGGATACCTCTGGGTCTCTAGCACTGCTCTCGGTACAAAGGATCCTCCCTCATCTTTAAGCTTCTGAGAAATAATTGTGAAAAAAATTCTAATGGCTCTCAGTTGCTGTACTTTAACTGTACATAACATGAGCCCTATTAAAACATAATACATTTCATCACCAGGTTGAAAAAAGAACATAACACAAACTTTCAAATAAAGAGAAAATTTCTGAGGCTCAAGACTCTTTTTTTCTACCTACCTATATTAAAATACTGGAAGCATAAAGTCTGTGTTAAAAATAACAACAAAAACTTGGCATGGAAAAGATGAAGGGTGAAAGGATAAAATTATAAACAGATAGTATATAAGTGTGGGCTTGTTCACCAAATTCTGAAATGCGAGAAATATGAAAGTACATCTTGGAAATTCTAAAAAGGAGGCACTTGGCAGGCAGGTATAAAAAAGTCCTGTTTACATAGTGAATAGTAAATTCATAGAACCTGGCTTCTTATCTTGAAAACATTAATAAGTTTGCAAATAATTCATAATAACTAAGAAAAAATGAACTGAAGTCTGTCTCTAATTCTTTGAGAGCCATACCTGGAAATGTTCCTTCCTTGGTTTTACCATTAGGAAGACAACGCTGAACCAGATGGAAATATGAATTAATCTGTCATTTGTTATGCTAGATCTCCATCTGCTAAGACCTATCACTAAAATTGTATTTGAAACTAGCACTTCACAGGAAAGACCGTTTCTAAGATTTGATGGATCTGAAAGTAAAGTTGAAGTTCCTTCAAATACATTATTGCAATTTCTCCAGATTGTCCTCGGTCTACATCAAAAGGAACTGGTTGTAAGTACATTGAAGGAAAAGCTATTCCATCTCAATTAGACAGCAACACATCCCACGCTACTCCTTTCCTCAATTTGAAAAGAAAGGGTAAGGTGGGAGGAGGATGGCCCATCAATGCTATATTTATGTCTCTCAAGTTCCAGAGATATAACAACTGTCATGGTCATCATGGCCTCCTAAGCCAAAACCAGTCACTACGGGCTATCAGGGGAAAAAAATCGAAGAAACGACCACAAACAAGAGCAGAGTTTCTAAATGGCATCTGTGACTACAAACTAAAAGCCTGTACAGCTGTATGGAATATAAGAATGACTTATCTACCTCTTCAGTCACAGTGGAGCGACTACTGCCTTTCTTCCTTCTTCGTTTTTCCCACAAATAATTGAGTTTGCGTTCTATTAGGAATAAATGTAGAAAATCTGAACCTCTGCACAAAATGCAGAGATCAATAAAACTGTCCAATACTTAGAGGGTGCTTGACCCTCATCCTCCCCTAGGGCTGGGACGAAAATCACTTCCTAGGACTGGAGAGCTCCCCTATGCTGCAAGAGGGGACAACTTCGTAGACTCACTCTTAACGGGAGTCCCCTTTCAACCTACTCCGGAATCTGAACTGACTGCACACACTGCTCACCTGTAGTACACAGCCAAGTGTCCTTCCTCGATCTTGTGGATGGAGGCGTAGAGAAGGACAACCACCAGACCCACCACTGCGGCCACCAGAACCCGGGCTTGAGTCATATTCATACTTGTTCCTCCTAGATGGGGGAGGAAAGGATCCCCAGCCTCGTGAGTACCGACGCCACCCCCCACCCCCACCCCCCAGTTTCCACCCTGTCTCCGGAGACCCGGCCTCCTTCCGCAGGGCGAGCCAGAGAGTTCTGTGCCCCTTTTCTCGCATACTTCCCTCCTCACACAGCCTACTTTCCCTCGCCAACCCCTCCGCCCGAAAAGGGCCGCGGGCCGCCCCTACTCGGTGAGCGTCCTGACACCCCCAATCTCAACGGCCGCTGCACCCACCCCCAACCTTGGCGGAAGGCACTAACTGAGAAGGGGCCAGCCGCAGACCCCAGGGGGAGGCCGACCCTAAGGCCGCGCCTCACCGATCAGTGACGCATCGCCCCCGCCTGCACGTGCAGCCGCCTCCCGGGCCGCGCCAACCGCCGCCAACAGCCGGCCCCGCCCACTCGCCCGGCACTGCGGCTGCGCAGCCACGCACGCCGACGTAACTCTCCCCGCGCCACTAGGAGACGGGGAGCGGGCGGGACAAAATTCTCCCGGCCGCCCGCCTGCGGAGGTACTTGCGCTCCTCTGCGCAATGCTGGTTTCCTGCTATGAAAGAGAAGGGAAGTCCGCAGTGTGGAGGAAGCAGAGATATAGAGGGAAGGACAGGGCGCCTGGGACGAGGGATTGGTCAGTTTGTTCTTGCGCAGAAATCCACTCCCGTGCTCTCTGTGGTAGCTGCTCCGTTTGTCCTTTTGTGGTTTATACCTTGTGACAACCACATGCTTCAGGCACGGGTCCTGCACGAATTCAGGAGCAATAGACCTGTTGCAATAAAAGTATTTATTGTACAAGTTCATAAGAGGAAGATATTCAATCTGACCACATCTTTCATCCTTCAGGTGTTTTTCTGAGCACCGATTAACGTGCCAGAATATTGATCCAGTGAGGGCTTTATGAAGGCCATCCCAAAAGAAACAGAATAAGCACGCGAGTGTGTGTGTCTGTTTGGGGGAAGGGGGTCATCCAGGTAGCTCAAAGAGTATTGCACCTTTCTTGAAGCTCGAGTGATGGAAAGGAGTGGTATAACAGGTTTGGCCAGGCCCAGATTTTGAAAGGCTTGCATGCTGTTTTTCTTCAGGGAGAGGGAGCTGAATGACTAGAGAACAGAAAGACTTTCTTTGTACTGCAGTCTTCTGTTCTTTCAAGTTATGGATCATGTGCATATATTACCCAAAACAAAAAAGGCAAAGTTAAAGAGTAGAGATGGGAATGAGATGAACACAAGGGAAATAAAGGTAGCATATAAAAGTAGGTTGGACAGTAATCCTGTAAGCTCAAAGCCTAGTGGGACCAAAACCGGACAAGGGAGATGAGGATCCCGGGGCCCTGTAGCCTTGGGCAGAGAAGTGTGGGAAAACAGTACTTTAGGGCCAAAATGGCTGCAAAATGGCTTAGAATGGAGGCAGAGAAGCCAAGCGGTTAGGAAACTGGAGGCCTAAGGTTACGAAGGTAGTAACAGTGGAAATGGGAAGTGGTAAATAGGATTTCAAGCCTTCATTAAAACAAGACCACTCTGCCCTCTCCCTTCAATAAATGTACTTACCTGTACTGTTCATAGGACTTTTATTACCTACAAATGTCTGGGACCTCGTCTGTTCTAGGCATATAATATTAGCAAAGCTTAGCTATTTTAACTTCCAGAAAGCAAAACGAAGTTAAAACAACTTGTTCCAGCCCGTTTTCTGGATTGATTTTCTTAGCTTTTCGTAATATTGCTGGAATTAGAAAATGAAATGTATACCATTTACAATCGTCATTCCACTCTGAAAAGGTGTGACCCAGTAAAAAAATAGTCAACCCATGCATCAGAAACAAGTCTGAGGTGATCTCACTATAATTTACTGTACTGAGTCAGAACACCTGCCTGTATTACATGCATCAGGCTACCCTGACGTTACCCCAGCCACACCATAAACTGGCCACACCCGAACACAGATCTCTTATCAATTATTACAGTGACATTTAGAAAATATGCAGTCATCTAAACAATAAATTTCTTTAATAATCATTTCAATGCTTGGATGGCTTGCAGTGTTCAAACTCCCAGATAAGCATTCTTGTAATGCCTTTAAGGGTTTCTGATCTTACCATCTAGCTCAATATTCTAAGCAACAGGTATCCAATAAATGTTTCATTGATTAAAACCTTCTAGAACTAGAGGGGTATCTGGGTGACTTAGTCGGTTAAGTCTGCCTCTTGATCTCAGCTCAAGAGAGGTCCTGATCTCATGGTTGGGAATTCAAGCCCTACACTGGGCTCCATGCTGGGTATGAAGCCTCCTTAAAATAAATAAGTAAATAAATAAATAAATAAAATAGGGGCAACTGGCTCAGTTGATTAAGCGTCTGACTTGTGATTTTGGTCCAGGTCACGATCTCACGGCTCATGAGTTCCAAGTCCTATGTCAGGCTCTGCACTCACAGCACAGAGCCTGCTTGGGATTCTCTCCCTCTCTTTCTGCCCCTCCCCTGCTCTCTCTCTCTCAAAATAAATAAAAACAAAATAAATAAACACATACATACCTAGAACTAGAGAAGCAAGGGACAGGCTGCCTATTAAAACAGCAGACACGATTTCCATATTTAGAGAAACAGTAGTACCAGATGACTAAAAAGTTAGAAGACAGCCCCAAGATTTCAAACTTAGATGATGGAAAATGACAGTACTAGGAAAATGAGGATGGTGTGACTAAGACCTCAGTTTATAGAGCAAGGTATGAGTGAGTATGGTTTTTAGACATGGAGAGTGGTGACGGGAGAAAAGACTATATTAAAAGAAGCTACCCAATGCTGTTTTTACTATAAGTCCTGTTTAATTCCTAAGGAAAGTACAGTGAGGGCCTGTTATGTTATTCTGTGCTTCAGTTCCACTTCATGGAACCATCCCATTCCCGAACCATATTCAAACATTCTGTTGTAATCTGATTATAATGAATAGAGATTCTACAAGTAATTTAAAAATCATTTAATACACAAAGTGGAAAACTGTCTAGAATATAAAAGCATTTCACATTTTTTAAAAAACACAAAAGACCTTCTAATTTATTTATTTAACAGATGATAGATGGACAATCCTTTATCTGAAACCCTTAGGGCCCAATGTTTCAGAATTACAAAATTTTCAGATTTTAGAAAAGTAATTCAGTGCATATACCATCCTCCATAAACACCCAGCAGGGTCTGTGGCAGCGCTCCCCCGCCCCCAATAATCAAACATGTTACTATTTCCACAGCAAAATAAATGAATATTCACACTAAATGGGGTAAGCAGATTCAATATCAGTTCAGGTTAGATTTGCAAGCAAATGAGTTTTGTTACCAAGCTTATGAAAAATGTTTTCAGAGCTTTATATTTGGAATTACAGATAAGAGAGTGTAGACCTTTATACATTTGTAGAACATGAAAAATTCATTAAGCAAATGACCCATTTTTTACAAATGAAAAAACAACAGTTTTCAAACATATTATAAATTAACGGCATTTTCTTGATATTATTAAATGTACATCTTAAATACATATACACATAGCACACTCAACAAGATTTATTTGAATCAACTGGTATTAAAGACACAGATGCTGGGGTCCCTGGGTGGCTCAGTCGGTTAGGCATCCAACATCAGCTCAGGCCATGATCTCATGGTTTGTGAGTTCAAGCCCTGCAAAGGGCTCTGTGCTGACAGCTCAGAGCCTGGAGCCTGCTTCAGATTCTGTGTTTCCCTCTCTCTCTGCCCCATCCCCTGCTCATGCTCTGTGTCTCTCTCAAAAATAAACATTAAAAAAAAAGAAAAAAAGGATACTGTCAAATGTGCAGTAAAAATGAAACTATTAAGATTAAGTTAACTCCTTATGATGCCAGGAAGAGCATTTTTTGAATGCAACACAAGGAGGTAGAGTTTAATCTTCATGAAGTACAGTTTTACTTGTGAGCAGTCTCTTCCACAGAAACAAAGGCAAACAACTTTTACCTTGAATGCATGTTAGTCATATACACACACACACACACACACACACACACACACACACACACACACACACAC